TTTATATTATGTGAAATGCTCAAGTTATGAATGATTGGAATTGAGACACGGGTGCTCAGAATCAGTATATAGGCCTGCTAAATTAATTTTCCTCAGCATGAGATAGTAGAAATGATAAAAAGTTTCTACTGTCTTTTAATGAATGGGTAGAGTGATGATTTCACAATTCAGATTTTGATGTTTTGAGAGTGCTGAAACTAGTAATATATTTCCAATTCTTTGAGTTATTTTAAGCTAAAGATGTTTCATGGTATTTCTTTTTTGGTCATTTAATCATCAAAAATACGAGCTATAAAGAGAACATGCCCATTCCTTTTTTTAAAATTTACATTTGTGATTTACTGTAGTTAATTTTTGTTGTTGTTGGAGTATTTTCTGAGGAAAGGAGTATATCCTTAAATCTCATTATGTTAAATTAAAAGATGTCAAATTTTCTATTCTGGAACAGGATTTTACAGGTGTAACATAGTATCAGCTATTGGCTTAGTGTTCAGGTTTAAATATAAGTATTAATCAGAGATGAACTTATTCCTTGGGTTCACATTTAAACTGTGGCATGTTGAAATAATCTAGGTCTCCATCTGCACATCTGAATTCATTTTGTAAAATATGGCAAACAGCTGCATTTCAATGGAAAGCTAAAACAACTGTAGGACATTAACCCATTGAGAAGATTACAGTAGGTTTTCAGTTCCATGTTAACTGTATTTATTAGAGAAAATTGACTTGAGTGCTTCTGCTTTTAACCGACATTTTTTTTTTAAATGTCTGGGAGAAAGGAAATAAAGCACTGGAATGATAGGACTTTGATGTGTAAAGAAGTTAATGTCGAAAGAAGTTAATTATCTAAATCATCAAACAAAATGGGTATGGGAAATAATTATTTTAAAGATTCTAATGAGCTATCAACTCATCATGTCAAGAAAAATCTTATTCACCTGTTTGATTTAAAAGTTAAATAACTTGACTGTGAAAGGATGATCGTGGTTATAATAAACTAGGATTGGGACCTTTTACCTCTTACCAATAAATACTCTTGATGTGAAACATTTGCAGTAGGAGGACAACTGAAGAAAGCTGTGGTTTTAATATGAATTTACTTTCTGAAATGTCTCCCCTTTAGAAAGTGTTAAAGCAGGGTGACTGGATTTGTAAAATGAAAAAAGGGCAGATTCCTTCAACAATGTCTCAGGACATTTGGCCACAGGAAAATCCCACAGAATGGCATGTCTTCAAATCCAACATGAGTGAACTAAGTCATAACTGTTTTTGGAGCCTGGCGTTAATACACAATCTTTGAGTTTAACTTTTTCTCTAGGATATCATACCTCTCTGTCAGTCTTCTGTTGGGACAATAAGGGAAACATTTTCTAAGGTCTTTGAGGAAGCCAGGTTTCTTTGTTAGCACTTTGTCTTGATTGTTCAGGACTGTTCCTGGAAGTTCTTGGTTTCTTGTCTATTTTCCCAATCTTGGATTGGTGATGTGATTTTTTATTTAAAGCTGAGTTCCCATATTATTTGTAGAAAATTACTTATTCCAAAAGGCTTTTTGAAAAAAAATAAAGCAAATTTAGACTTAAAAAAAATAATGATGGTGTTTCATAGCATTAGCTTCTTTATTTGTTTTAGAATTTTGGTTTTCAGGCTCAATTTAAGTGAAACTTTTTTCCTTCTCTTTCTCTGCTCTTGCATTCTCTGTCTGGTGGTTTTGGCCTGGCCCTTACGGCCCTTGGACTAGGCCAGGGCTTATGTTGGCAGATAGCTGGTTCTGCCACAGAAGGTTATTTCAGATATTTCCCATCTAGCCACTCAGCTAGTGTGCTCTTGTTGTAGATCCCTGTCCCGTTGCCTTCTCAAAAGCTTTATATATGGCCTATGTAGGCAGTGGTTGGTAGTAGGTTTTTTTCCCCCAGCCGCCTTCCATCCCAGCTCTTGGTGAATGGCCCTGGTTCAGGTTTCCTTTATCAATTTTAGCCAACATTACCCATAGAAGTGGTCATATTAGAGAATGTATCAGGAGATAAATTTGGCAGCAATGTGGAGAATGAATTGAGATGGAAAGAGAGAAGCTATAAATAGAGCTTATAAAGGGCCATAAGGTAGAAAAAGAGAAGGAGAATGTAAGAACATAAAGTAGAATTTATTTGACCTCTAAGAACATAAAGTAGACTTTATTTAGCTTTCAATAGATTATAGGGTGCTGGAGAAGGAGTCAAAGATAAATGACAGATTTTTGAGATAGGGTGACCGGTAACAGTAGTGATGTCTGTAGTGAAAACAGAACTTATAAGGAAATTACTTATTATTTGTTGAATTGCATTAAGGTCTTTCAGTGAAAATATTCAAGTTTCTTAAATTTTTGTGATTATGAAATGAGAGTAATCTAAATTTGTCATAAAAAAGCTGTTAGCAAATCAAGAAAGAGACTTCTTAAGATCTTTCTATTTATAACAAAGCAAACATTGTGTGCTTAGAACTGTAAACATATTAGTTCATTTAAGCCTCACAACAACACTAAGAGGGTGAAATTATTATTCCCTTTTTACAGATGAGGAAACTGAAGCACAGGGAAGTTAAGTAACTTGCCTAAAGTATAGCCAAGTAGCAAAGATGGGATTCAAACCTGGGCAGTCTGACTCTGGACTCTTCCTAATTAGTTTACTATAATTAAAGTTCTTAGCACTGCTTTATTTTATCATTTGTTCTAAATGTAATTCTTCTTTAGAATTTGCAAAGTATTTTTATTTTATTTTATTTTATTTATTTATTTTTTTTAAATATATTTTTTATTGATTTTTTACAGAGAGGAAGGGAGAGGGATAGAGAGTTAGAAACATCGATGAGAGAGAAACATCGATCAGCCGCCTCCTGCACACCTCCTACTGGGGATGTGCCCGCAACCAAGGTACATGCCCTTGACCGGAATCGAACCTGGGACCTTTCAGTCCGCAGGCCGACGCTCTATCCACTGAGCCAAACCGGTTTGGCAAGTATTTTTATTTTAAAGAAAGTTATAGTATTGCAAGGTTTATATGACCATGAATTAATAGCTAACATTTATTGAGCACTTACTGTGTAATAAGGTTTTTATCTACTTGCATTATTTTAATATTATTTTATTAATCCTTATTCATGGGACAGTTATTAAATAAAATGGGATATATTAGGATTAGCATCTAGTTTCCCATTAGTGTCAGCTTAATTTTATTGGGAAAAAAGTCACACAATTTAAAATTGATGAGTTACTACCATCTCTATATATCGATCTACACTAATAAAAGAGAAAGATGCAAATGGACCGTACCTTCACGACGCCCACCAGCCAATCAGGAGTGAGTATGCAAATCAACCCAACAAAGATAGCGGGTTAATTTGCATACGCAGGCGCTGAGCGGCCGGGGGCGGGATGCTTGCATTGACGCAGGCGTTCCACACCGCCCCAGCCGCTCAGGGCCTCTGGGCAGCGTGAGAAGGCGAAAAGGTGGCTCCGGGTCAGAGTGAAGGCAGAAAGGCGGCTCCAGCCGGAGTGAAAGCGGTGCCAGCAACCAGGGGAAGAAAGGCCCATTCTTGCACGAATCTTTGTGCATCAGGCCTCTAGTGTGTGTATATATATATATATATATGTGTGTGTGTGTGTGTGTGTGTGTGTGTGTGTGTAAAAGCCTAAGTGACCGAACGACCAAATGACCAGTCACTATGACACACACTGACCACCAGGGGGCAGATGCTCAATGCAGGAGCTGCCCCCTGGTGGTCAGTGCGCTCCCACAGTCAACCTCCCATGGCCAGCCAACCTCCTGTGGTCCCTCCACCTGGCCAGCTGGCCCCAATCAGCCCGATCAGGACTGGGCAAGATGGCCCCGATCGGCCCCAATCTCTGGACAGTCCTAGGGACCCTACTCGTGCATGAATTCTTGCATCGGGTCTCAAGTCTAAGTGACCGAACGACCGGTTGACCAGCCGCTATGATGTGCACTGACCACAAGGGGACAGATGTTCAATGCAGGAGCTGCTCCCTGGTGGTCAGTGCACTCCAATAGCCAACCTCCCTTGGCTGGCCAACCTCCTGTGGTCCCTCCCCCTGGCCAACTGGCCCCGATTGGCCCCGATCAGCCCCGATCGCTGGCCAGGCTGAGGGATTCCACCTGTGCATGAATTCGTGCGCTGGGACTCTAGTAAGATTATAAAGTATCACAATGCTTTCTTCTGATCTACTGATTGACTTTATATTATTTGTATTAAGGCTTTGGTTCATATAGGGATTAGATTGTGCTGGGATTTTCTAATTTTGTATCTTACAGTTGTACAATTTTATTCTTTAAATGAAATCTCACTTGGAACTCTATTTATATGTTGAGTTGTTCTGGTGTTCTGGATGGAACTGATGAGATATATGCTTGGGGGCCACTGGGAACTCCCTGAAATAGTGCCAGTGAGTCTTAGGGCTCCCTGGAACACATTTTGAAAACCACTGAGCTCTATTAAAATATTTTAATGACTATTTTTCTTCCATTACTTATAAAATATGTACTGAAATGTTTTATCACTCAAGGGAGTAATTCTTTATATCGTACATGACTAAGCAGTTTTTTCCCACCTGACTATTCCTTTTTAAAAAAATACACTTTTATTGACTATAGAGAGAGAAAGGGAGAGGGATAGAGAGAGATAGAAACATCAATGAGAGAGAATCATTGATGGGCTGTCCCCTGCATGCCCCCTACTGGGGATCAAGCCCACAACCCAGGCATGTACCCTGACCGAGAATTAAACTGTGACCTCCTGGTTCATGGGTTGATGCTCAACCATGGAGCTACACCAGCTGGGCTTACTATTTCATTTTAATAAAGAACATTAAGTATAAAAAAATCAGATTTACACACAAAAAATCAGAAATTTAAAATTTTCTATACTTTTTGATATAATTTATAATTGCTTTTGTTTTCCTTGCATTTATTTATAATTCAATACATTTTGTGTTATTTCTCTTTTCTATTTAGATGAATAATACTGCAGCCAGCCCAATGTCTACTGCCACTTCAAGTAGTGGAAGAAGTACAGGAAAGTCTGCAAGCTTTGCCTCAGAATTGCAGAGTATGATGTAAGTATGTCTCTGCATCTTACTTATTACTATGTTAAGTTATTCATGTTGATAAAAGACAATAGAAATAACAACATTTATAAAACTTAACTGGGAAACTTGTACTTAAGTAAAAATGAAATTGTCTGATAACATTTTCAATAACAATATGCAGACAAAAGGGGCAGCATTAGTTAAGAATGCTACAATTGTACTGTATTAGGAAAATAAGTATTGGTTTATATTTATAAAAGAATGAACATTTATGTAAATCTTTTTGCTCTAATTATCTGTTATAAATTGTTTATTCCCATTTTAGATTTAGAAAATTTTGATATAGATTATATCCTAGCATAGTTGCAGTGTTTTCAGAGTTCTCAATTATTCTCAAATGTCACAATAATTCTATTTGCCTAATGTAATTTACTTTTTAGTTTTGATAATATTTGAAATCACTGTATTTCGGAAGATTGAGGAAAAAATTAGAATATTTAAAAAACACACTCAGTTTTTGAAAAGTTGCACAGTCATTAAGATTTCTTGCCTAAGGCTCTTCTCCGCTTCATTTCTGGCTTCCTGCATTGAGTGAGACTGCATATCTTGATTTAATAGCATATTTATTGGAAATGTCAGTTGGCACATACTAGTTTTTCTTTATTATTGGTTCAGGAGACAGTTATCTGCATGAGGGACAACACATTAGAACTCTTCTTTTCCTGACATGGATGCATTATTCCTGACATTTCCAGCAATTTTAAAAGAATGTTTCTTTTGAAGGTCTAAGTGTCTTCCTCCTGTGGGTGTGTATTGATAGCCTTCATAATGGATGGACTCCACTGTGGGGTATTTATTGTCCCAAGAAAAAATGCGTTTGAGCATATATCTAATACTTTTTCGGTGAACATACCTTAAACCACATTGAAGACATTTAGGTCACAGGTTATTAAACTTTTTGGTCTCAGGCTTCCTTTACACTCTATTATTGGAGACCTTGATCAGCGTCTGTTTATGTGGGTTGTATCTATTAATATTTATTGCCTAGAGTTTAAAACTGAGAAAAAATTATTTAGTTCATTTGAAAATTAAACCTATTATATGTTAACATAAATAATATATGTATGCCCTAAAATCTATAATGATAAAAGTATAATATGCTAATTAGACCGGACAGCCAGACAACTTTCCGGATGTCCTTCCGGACAACCTTCTGGACGAAGCCAGGGCTGTGGGGGCCGAGCCCTTGCACGAATTTTGTGCATTGGGCCTCTAGTAATTATATTCAAAAACCAGAGATTGGATGAGATGAGAATAAAATAAATGTACTAATTTAGGAGTTGTATGAGGTGAGTCAGGTTTTTTTTCTAATTTATTGATTTTAGAGAGAAGAAGAAAGAGAGAGAGAAAGAGAGAAACATTGATTTGTTGTTCCATTTATTTATGCATTCATTGTATGATTCTTATATGTGCCCTGACCAGAGGTTGAACACGTAACCTTGGAATATCAGGACAGTGCTCTAGCCAACTGAGCTACCTGGCCAGGGCCTTCTGTTTTAAATTATGGAAAATGTTAAGGGTTTACGCTTTATACACTTTTAGTATATATAGTTTATTAGTTTAAGTTTTTTCATTACGGTTTAGTAGCTTTATGTTAAGAATCTTTTATGTTACCCTAGCCGGTTTTGCTCAGTGGATAGAGCGTCAGCCTGAGGACGAAAGGGTCCCAGGTTCGATTCCGGCCAATGGTATGTACTTTGGTTGCAGGCTCCTCCCTGGCCCAGATCCTGGTCAGGGCTTGTGCAGGAGGCAACCAATCAATGTGTTTCTCTTACATCGATGTTTCTCTCTGTCTTTCCCTCTCTCTTATACTCTCCATAAAAAATCAATGGAAAAATATACTTGGGTGAGGATTAACAAAACAAAACAAAACAGAATCTTTTATGTTGTATTATGTTAATTATGTTTAAAAACGTCAAATGTGTTTTAGAAGGTTTATAGTAAAGTGCGAAAATTTATTTTCCTGTAGAGAGCCAGTCCACCGATTTACTTTGTGTTTTAAAACATATTATATATAATCTACATATATTAAAAGCTAATATGCTAAGTGTCCATCCGGGTAATGACATCACATAGCAATGCCCGGCTTCCTCTCCCTAGTAACAACTAGCCTCCTTGTAGTTTCTTCAGTCCAGGAACATGACTTGCTTTATAGACAGGTGCAAACATTTCACACTGTAACCAAATATCTGTGAAATGTTTTCCCGTGCCTCATCTCATTTGATCCTCACAGAAGTCCTGGAGTAGGTAGATAGGAGACTCAGTGGAATCCTATTTTCTTTTCATTAGCTGGAAAACGGAGATTTAGAAAGCGTAGATACTTGACCCGACTGAAAAGAAGTAAGAAATGGTGGACCTTGAAAATGACTTCAGGTTTTCTCACTGTGCAGAATATAGTAAAACACTGCGGCAGTTAAATATTTTACCCTTTTTTCTCCCTGAGTGATCTACAATAATAATCTGCTTCATGTTGATATTTACTGCTGTGTTGCTGACAGTTACCTGAAAGGGAAGTTGGTGTGCTTTACTGGGCTGGAAAAAGTTTAGCTAAATCAGAAAGCAGGTCTAATTAAGCAAGTTTATTCTACATATATAAAAGGCTAAGTTGACTCACGTATGCATGATACATATAAAGCTCTCGCTGGTGCCAATTGCACACATGTGTTTCGATCTGTCATTGTCGATTGTGAATTTGGATGACACTTCTATTATAGAGAAAGTGCGAATAGCGATATTAAACTATTCCTTCCAATTAACACTTGGAGTGCGGGTGAATTTCCCGACAAAATATAAGATGGCTCTGTCTTTTGGTTTTGTTCCATCCACCAAAAGGGTGGATTACAAACAAATATTTGGTAATACGCAGTTACAATCGGCCCGAGTTTACACGTTTCCCGCACTCCACCGCAAATCTATATGAACCGAGTTAAAGACGGCTCCCGCGGAGTACGCGCAATTCACGCGAGCCGACTTAACTCGTTTCCCGCACTCCAAGTGTTAATTTCCTTTCATTGTGCATGAATTCGTGCACCAGGCCACTAGTATATATTATAGAGAAGAGTATAATGAACCCAATGCATCCATCATCTGGCTTTAACAATAACTGTGTTTTGCCAGTCTTATTTAACCTTTTTCCCTACTTTCCACTTGTTTTTAATGCAACAGTTTAAAGCAAATTTCAGACATCATGTGTTAAATTTGGTGTTATTTATTAAAGCAATATATTTGTTGGTACATAATTAATATGCTCTACAGCAGTGATCAACAAACTATGGCCATGTGCTCATAGACTGGCTGCCTGTTTTTGAAAATAAGGTTTTACTCATTTATCTATTATATATCTCTGCCTTCATGCTTCATGGCAGAGTTGAGTATTTGTGATAGAGACCACATGGCCAGTAAAGCTGAAAGTATTTACTATCTGGCCCTTTACAGAAAAAGTTTGATGACCCTTTATCTATAGAAACAGGTCTCTATAATAATAAAGCTTTTTTTCCTTTTTATCATTTATGCTTAGGAGAGGTTCTGCTTAATGCATTTGATAGACTGCAGGCCACTTAAGAAAACTGAGAAAAAAATAAAATAAAAGCTAAATTCAGCACTTTCTTATTAAATACTTTTGCAAACATCTTCCCTACTAATGTGCTTAAGCTGGATTCAGAATGCAAAAGTTATTGTTGGCTACAGCTTTGGAAGAAATATACATTTTCCTTCTATTTCAGACCTCATAGAGAGGCTACTCCTAATAGTTACATTCATCATTTATAGTCTGAAGTTATTTTTTTCCCCTTATGAATTGCTTCATAGAGCAAAAAAAGTAGGGCCAAAATTGGGGGAATATTTTTTAATTTAACAATATTTTCTATTGGTATAAAGTTTTCAGGCTTTTGTTATTTAACTTAGAATCAGTATACATTTGATCTTTGCTTATGTGATTTCAAATGAGAAAGTGTAGGCTTACATCTCTGTGTTTATTTTGTGTTGTAGGAATTTCATTCCGTGAATGCTGCAGTTTCACAGTTCTCTTAAGTATGTTTGTGTTGTATTGCTATTTTTCCATCCCTAATGCTACTGTCTTCTTCACCCATTCACCACTAATGACCTGTTTTTCTCTTGGGTCCTACCCCTCCAAATAAGTAACAATATTATAGTGACATTTCCAGGGAATGGTTTCAGGTATCTAGTTGTCAAGCACAAATGAAATTGTCATGATTTGCTATTAAATATAGAACTGGCAGCCAGTCTGTTCTGCTGTTGGAGCCTTGATAGAATTGACCATATTTAAAGTGTAGGTGGTAAATACTGCCAGTGAAGCATTCTTTAGGAAGTGCTTTGACAAATTTTAAGTGAAAGGATTAGCAGTCAAACTAACGCTAGTGGGTTGGGGATGGCAGCAACTTACAACTGTGCACATTTGCTAGATGCTACTTATCACCGCTTTTTTAATAACGTGTGCTGGCAGGGTCCAGAGGCCTTTCATTTTAAGTTACTGAACTCAAGTAACCTTTAAATTAAAAAGTGAAATCTTTTCAATTCACATTGCAGTTATTTTAACAAACTTCGTAAGAATTTTAATTTAAATGCCCTTCAAGAAGTCTTCATTGGATTCACTCTTCCTTATTTATATGCTTCTGGACTTGTCTTACTCTTTTTCAGGCTTATAGACCCAGTAATGATGCCAGAGTTTCACTGCTTGGTAACATTTAGTAATTTTCATGTGATGAAATTAAAAAAAAAAAAGATTTTGTTTACATGTTACCTGTATTTTGTAAGAATTCTGCCAAATGAAAATTTCAGCCTTATTTAAAATCCACAGATGAAAAATAATTTTTAAAAATCAGACCTTTATTTATATACGATAAAATTTAGTCTTTTAATTGTACGGTTCTGAAAATTCTGCATTTAAAAAAAATCAACACTATTGAGCCCATACATGGCAGGACCTAAGTGCCTTTAAGGTAGTCTGA